AGAGGATAGGTCTGACCCAGACTATCCCCATATTTACAAGCTTTGGGTCCTCTATGCCAGACCCATGAATTCACAGAGAAATACACAAGACATTTTACACTGAGGGTTATTTTTGTTTCCGGATGCTCCAAGACCAGGCCTTGTGGGGCCTACCCAGGCGGCAGGAACTTAAATCTCAGTATTTACCGGCCCTCTTCTCAACATCACCCCTTTGGTCCTCCCCGGCCCCCTCCCGCCCCAGGACCAAGTCTTGGGAGACTTGGGCCTGGGAGTGGGGAGGGAGGAGGAAGAGGAAGGTGGAATGAGACACAGTCATGGACTCCGGTCTCCGAGGCCAGCTCAGCTGGGCCCGGCGCTGCGGCACTATCCGACCTCAACTGCTGCCCCTTTTAGAGAAGTTTCTAGCTGAAACTCAAAATACAGCGATCATCCTTTTATAAATAAGTTAGAAGAACACAGATGGGGAGGGGAAAGTTCACATTAAACATGCGAGTTTCTTTTTGTCCTGGGGGAAGGAGTGCAACCACAGACACGAACGTTCAGAAACACTGGCGGATTTGGGGTGAGCAGAGGGGAGTGGGGAGCATGGTGGGAAAATAATAATTATCATTATTATTACAATAATAACAAGATTAACCAGTCCAAGAGAGAGGGAGCCACAGGAAGACTTAAGACCAAACGAAAAATCGTAGCACAAGGCCCGGGCGAGGCAGGCTCGTGGGAACCGGTCCCCAGCGGGCAGCGGCAGCGCGGGGAGGCTTGGAGGGGCCAGGGCTGGGAGCAGCACGGGCTCTTGGGCCGCCCGGGGCTCCTCCGGGCGGGCTCAGGGCTGGAAGGCGCTGCCGGCTGTAGCCAGGCTCATACTTTTCAGTTTGTTGTCTTTCTTCCACTTCATGCGCCGGTTCTGGAACCAGATCTTGATCTGGCGCTCGGACAGGCAGAGCGCGTGGGCGATCTCGATGCGCCGCCGCCGCGTCAGGTAGCGGTTGAAGTGGAACTCCTTCTCCAGCTCTAGGGTCTGGTAGCGGGTATAAGCGGTCCGGGCCCTTTTCCCGTCCGGCCCGGTCATATCTGGAGCAGACAGAGCAGCGAGGCAACGTTATTCCGGTTAAGGGAGGGGGCCCTGGGTGGGAGGGGGGGGCGTGGAGCAGGACCCAGGCGTCCCCGGCACCCAGCTCACCGCAGCTCCAATTCTCCCCACTCCAGATGCCCGCATCCGAGCTCGCTTTCTGCACCCCTTTCTCCTGCAGCCCCCACTTCTGCTGGCAGCGAATGCGCCCGGCTTTGTCTCTTGCTCCCTCCCTGTGCCTCACCCTTCGCTGGGCTCAGGCGGTCGCTCACCCCGGGAGGGAAGAGAACGGTTGCACTTTTGCCCTGGAAGCCTCGTGTTACTGCTCGCCCCTCCTCTGCTAGAAACAGTCTCAAAATTTCGGGGGCAAAGCAGGACCCTTCCCCACGTTACATAAACCTCATCCTTCATCCTAAAGCTAGTTCAAGCTGGGCAAATAAAACCTAAGGCGAATCAGGGAGCAAATTATTAAAAATACTCCTCCCCAAACCCCCAGCTAAAGACCTTCTTTGGCTCTGTCCCCCCCGAGCTGAGCTGTGAGGACCCTCTTAGAGACATCTTCCCCTCTGGAGGAAAGAAATCTATATTTGAGGAAAAGCCAAGTTCTCCTCGCCGCCGCCCCCACCCCCAAACGCGGAGAAGGAAAGCCGAGAAGACAAAAAGGGGAGCGAGAGCGAGAATTACCATGGCTGATGTGAAGCTTCCTCATCCAGGGGAATATCTGCGGAGTCTGCCCCTCGGGCGCGGCTGTGGAGGTGGCCATGGGCTCTGGCTGCGCCCGAGCTAGGCTTGGGCTGCTTAGCTGGCTCGCCGCTTCCTCGGGCTCCGAGGACACGCTGGCCTCGTCTATTTCGGTGAAATTGGCGCTGGAGCTGGCCGGGGTCGCCTGGTCGGAGGGGGACGAAGCAGAGGGCTTGGCGCCGTGGCTGTCGCCGTTGGTGCAGGGCAGGGACTCGGGCGAGGACAGGGAGCAGCTCGACGCCGCTTGCCTGAAGCGGGGCTCCTGGGAGGGCGCAGGGAAGGCGCGCGAGCTCTCGCCCACCGCCCCAAAGTGGCTGGAGGAGGCCGAGGAGCGGTTGACGCTGAGGTCCATCCCATTGTAATTGTAGCCGTAAGAGCCGGTGTGCATGGCAGCGGGATCCCTGTAAGAGCCGCTCAGAGAGCTGCCACTGCCATAATTTAGCAACTGATAGTCCGGGCCATTTGGATAACGCCCCGAGAAGGAGTTTACAAAGTACGAGCTCATTTGGGTGATTTTGGAGGGCTTGATTTGTGGATCGTGGTCGTTATAACCCTGTGCTTCACGATTTATGATGTATTAATGAATTATAGCGATGCACTGTACCTCGTTTTGCTATGTATGCGGCCAAATATGGGGGGGGGGGGGAAGGGGGATGGGGGGGCGTTAGGGAATCACGTGCTTTTGTTGACCAGTCGTAAATTCTCGCTGATGACCTCAAGAGGTAATTCATGCTCTATGGTTACAAATAATGACGATCCGAGAATCGTTAGGGCCGATTCAATGCGAGCCTCCGAGAGAGGGGGAAAAAGGAGAAGGGGGAGAAACAGGGAGAAGGTTGGCGGCGGCCTCTGAGCAGAGCGCGCCACCTCCCGGCGAACGGCGGGAGCGCGGGCCGCAGACAGCCATGGCGGCGACAGCTGCCTCCCTGCCGGCTCCGTGCAACCGCGGGGCTCGAAAGAAACCCGGCCTAGGCTCACCCACAGGGTTGAATCTTTTAGAGGAGAAACCCGATCGAGCCTTTACCCACTTTCTCGGGAGTGGAGTTCGTCTGTCCATCGGTCCTTCTCCCTGTCGTTTTTATTATTATTATTATTATTATTATTATTATTATTATTATTATTATTGTTATAACAACTCTGGATAAGATGACCAAAGGTTGAGTTGCTCTTCCCTTACTCGGGCTTTGCAAGTCTCCGAGTTGGGGACGGAAATGGGGGGAGAGGTTGGAAGATGTGTGTGAAAAACAATGATTGCAAAAGGTTTCCCCTTTTGTGAGCTCACCCTGGCCTGCTTCCTGACCGGGATGCAGTGGCCCATCCACAGCATCCAAGCCGAGCCGGTAAGGCTAAGCTGAGGGTTCGAAGGAGAAGCCTTCGCTTCTCCTTGCTCCCTTAGAAGTTTGAAATCCTCTTCCTGACCTCTTCCTCATCCTTAGCCCAGGACGGAAGAAGGGCAGAGCAAGACAGGGACCCCAAAGGAAGAGGCCGGCTGGGGCTAAGTGGCCTAGTTGCGAGAAAAACGGTGGAGGTGACCGCGTCGGGGCTGGGGTTTGGGTTTAAACACGGTCCTGAGAGTTTGGGACCAAGGCAGAATCCTTTCGCCTTCTCACCAGCTGCCCGCTATTGCCTCGGGATGCCCCACTTGAGACCCCTTGCTGGCGTCTGGGTAGTTTCAGAATTTGCCCAGCGGCCCACTCCTTCCCCGGAAAAGGGTTCCGAGGACCCGCGGCCCCTTGCTGAGCGCGTTGGGCGGCCAAAGACCGCCACAGCTGGGCCCCTTCTGCCAGGCGGCTATTTTCTTTAAAAATAAAAAAGGGAGAGAGAGGGAGGAGGAAGAAAGGAAAACAGCCTCCGCAGCTTGCCGCCTGGGTGAGGGTGAGGGTGGGGGTGGGGACAGAATGGGTCGGTTTTGGTTGATGGGATGAGACCTAACTGCCCCATCACCTGGCCTCCTGCCCTCAGGTCTCCAAAGAGCAGGGGAAAGTCTTGCCCTTCGCCCGGCGCCTGCCGGCAGCTTCACATTCCCCTACTTGTCGCTTGAGGTAGAAAGGGGTGCCGGGAGCCTTCAGCTGAGGGCAAAGAGATAGATATCCGGTGGCCCCAATTTAGGCCAGGAGCCGAGGGCCAAGGCCGGCGGAGACCAGGCCATGTGGGCAGGCCAAAGACCACGGGCCTTGGCGATCCTGTGGACAGAACAGCGCTGCTGAGGCAGTGCGACCCGCCTGGCTCAGTCTCTGCAAGAGCTCCCGGCTAGAGGGCCTTGGTGGCGTCCCTCGTGCCACGGACAAACGAGGAAATGCTAGAGACTAAGAGGGAAACGGCCCTTCTCCGTCCCCCAATTCCGCACCAGGAGAGGCCGTTGTGAGTGAGCCTCAGCACCGGCGAGGCGAGGCGCTGGAGCCTGGGCCGAACCGCTGCAGCCTTTATCGCAACTGTAACTTCCGAGCCCTCTGGGGCCGACCAGGGCTCCTGCCTTTGCTGAGGAGTTTCCGGCACGGGGACGCAGGGGTGGCGGTGTGGGTAGGGGAGTGGCAGGGGAGGAGCAGAGGTGACCCAGCAGCGAGGTTTTACGTCTTTATTATTATTATCATTATTAATAATATTAATATTATTACCGAAGTATTTCACGTCCAGAGCTAAGACAAGACTACAAACACGACACATAGAAAATTAATAAAATAGAACTTTCTTTTCTTCTGAGGCTCCTCTTCTTACTTCTAGGTAGTATGTGCTCCTTCCAGTGGCTTTGGGGAGGGGCTGGCAGAGAGGTCTGGGGTCAGGGAGTCTTCGAGGCCCCCGCTGAGGGGACTGCGAATCTACCATTGAACCGTGCACGGGGGACATGGACGAAATGAGACGCGACACGGACAAGAGCATTTTGCTCTGCTTCCAGGAAACATCAAGTGAGTCCGGTCCTCAGTTCTCACGCGGGAGCCTCTTTGGGCTGAGGAGGTTCCACGGGGATGGAGGGGGCGCTGGGGTGCTGGCTGGGCTCAGGCAGCGCGGCCTCCCAGCGCCCAGCGAGAGCTTTGCGGGCGGGGGCGTCCAGGAGAGCAGTGGCCCCGCCTGTCGCGCACTGGAGAGCAGGTCCCCAGGCTCCCCCGCCCGCAGAGCCTTCTCGGGGCTCTCCGATGCCCTCGGCTCCCCAAAGGCCTCTCTCTTCGCGTCCCCCCGCCCCCTTCCAGCGCCTTCATTCGGCTGGTTTTTCTTCTTCCTCCTCGGCACTGAGCTGAGACGCGTTGAGCAGTTTGCTCTCCTTTTTCCACTTCATGCGCCGGTTCTGGAACCAGATCTTAATCTGCCTTTCCGTCAGGCACAGGGCGTGCGCGATCTCGATGCGCCGCCGCCGCGTCAGGTAGCGATTGTAGTGAAACTCCTTCTCCAGCTCCAGCGTCTGGTAGCGCGTGTAGGTCTGGCGGCCTCGCCGGCCACTGGGCCCAAAGGAGGAACCTGTTACACAGAGAGGAGGTGCTGAGGCCTGGGTTCACCAGGGCCAGAGCCCCCCTCCCCCACTCGACCCTCGAACGGGGACTCTAGCCTGTCCCGGGATGCCCTCCACTCTCCCTGTTTCCCTGCCCCCCTCCCTTCCTCACTCCTCCAGCGCCCCCTCCAGATTCCCTCTAGGTCTCCTAGGCTTATGCCTTCTGTCTAGATTCTTGGTGGGGGGATGGGAGGAGCAGTTTTAAATCCCACCTGAGCCTAGGGGGAGGGGCTGGGAAGACACTGGCCAGGTATGTCTCTTCCTAGCCGCATCTTTTCTTTCCATCCGTCTGGCTCCCCCACCATCCTGTGATAGATTCCGGCCCTTAATCCGTAATGACGTAGATCGATCCGCAGTCGGCATTAAGGGCTCCTCACTTTCGTGTCCCTTTAATGGACATCAATTTGGGACTTAAGGCCGACAAATAATCCAACCTGAGATCCCGGCGCCTGCTTCTCCTTCTATTCCCCTTCGCCCGCTCCCTCTCTTTCTTCTCCTTATTCTCCCTCCCTCCTCTGACTACCACCCCTTTCCTGGTGCCTCATCTTTCCCCAGCCCTCGACCCCCAGGGAAAACCAGTCCGGGACAGACTCAACCCTCCCTCGCCAGCGTCACGCCGCCCCTCTTCCCATGACGCACTCCGTTTTTAATGAACAGTCTTGGGGTGGGGGGGTCGGACCAGAGCTGGGGGCGACAGGGAGAGCCCAGCCAGTGACTGCGGCCCCTGCCCGCCTCCCTGACCCAGAATCCCGGCTGCGGCCTGGCGCTCCGGGAGAACCTACTCATTCCCCATGACTCGGAGTGCATCTGGGACTTTGCAAACTTTGCAACTCCTGAGGGCGGGAGGGCAGCGCGGGAGACCGGTGCAGGCGCCCAATCTTCCCTAAGCTCCGACCCGAGACGCTCTCTCTAGAGGAGAAGGGGGTGCTCTCTAGCTCTGGCTCCGGGAGGGGGGCCCGTGGGGGTTGCGGCGGCCGCAGCAAGTCTCACTCACTGTTGCATGAATTCATCCTCTGCATCCAGGGGTAGACCGGGGTGGAGCACTTCTGCTCCTCCGCCTCGCCGAACACGCTCTTGTCCTGCGCGCAGTCGGACTTCCGCGGCTCCGGGTGGAACGGGGGCGGCTCGTCGGCACCCGAAAGCGCGCAGGCCGACTCCTTCTCGCGGTAGAAGGCCGGCGCCGGCCCGTAGTCGCAGGGCGCCGCCCGGCCGTAGCCGCTGCCGGCCGGCGGGTAATAGGAGGGAGCTGCAAAGCCCTTGTCCTGGCCGGGCCCGGGCCCGTAGGGCGTGGGGTAGTGCCTCAGCGGGTCCGCATAGCCCGACGAGTAGAGCGGGAGCTGGCCCAGGAAGGACTCCTGCCCGCTGGCCAGAGTGACGGGGAAGGTGGAGTTCACAAAATAGGAACTCATTGGGAGGGGAGGCGCGCGCGGCCGCTGCTGCTCCGCCGGGTTTATGATTTGTTGTGTTTTATAGTCCGAGCGCCGCGCCTATTAGTAGTATATCTGAGATTGGGTTTTAGCTGAGGGGGGGATGGCGAGGTGCCAGTGAGGGCCAGAAGGAAATACAACCATCTGATCCAACACTGACCAATGGCAGAGGCAGGAATTGTCAAATAGCACCCAGGAGGAGCGCAGCCCGCGCTAGGGACCCGAGCACAAACGTATCAACCTTTTTTTCCCCCTCCTTCTTCTTCTGCTTTCTCTCTCTCTCTCCCCAACAGCACAACCCGTCCTGTTCCACCTACGTAGGGTCTGTGAAAGAGGCGTCTGTGCCTTTGAGGCAGGAGGGAGCACTTGGATTGATACCACCCCATCCCCCAGTGATCAAATAAATATATCCCTCCCCTCCCCACGCAGAACAGGAAAAAGTTAATTGTGTTTTCAGAGAAGTTAACCCCTGCTTTGCTTGGGGTTAGGCAAGGCAGGGGTTATTCCCTCCAGGGAAGGTGGGTAAATGTCTCTGAATCTTGAATCTCAATCTCCTTAGAAGAGAACTAAAGGAGGAGGCTGGTTTCTCGGGGTTTGTACTGGGAAAAGGGGAGAAGTGTTCTCCACTGATCAGCATTGTTTTCAGAAAGCGAGAAGCAAAGAAGAAACCCTCTCCTTCCCAGGTTTTGAAAAACGTTTTTCCTGTTTCTCAGATCTACTCCATCTCTTCCAAGCCTGGCTTTATTATTCCTGCTTCTCTGCAACTCTTATGGTCTGAGAGACAGGCCAGAGCCTGCTGCCCAGAGGACCCAGAAGGCTGGGAAATGGGAACAGGGTCTGAGGCTAAGCTTCTCCCTCTGGTTGTGCAGCTAGGCTAGGAGCTTCTGGGAAGGCTACCGCTGCCGCTGCCCAAGACATCTTGCCTGGTTCTAGTATGTACTGCTTGCTCTTGGCACAGGAAGGGGCACGGGGAAGAGGGGGATAGGGAGGGGAGGGGTGAAAGGCATCCTCCAACCTAGGTTGTCTGATCCCTATCCTGCCTGCAACCCCCCCTCCACCCCACCTCCTACCCCAAAAGACATTAGAATATACTGGGCTATAGATTCTTAGGAATCAAAGGTGTTTCAGTAAGTCTGGGTTCAGGGAAGAAATTGTTCCCTCCTCCAGTTCTGGGTCCTCAAACCCTCCTGATATTGGAGACAATCAGAGACCACTGGGAAGAGAGGAGCCCTTGCTCCTTTTCCAGGTCTCTCCAGGAGCTGGCAGTTCTTTTTAAAATTAATTCTTTCTCAAGACTTGGATTTTGTTTAGTTTTATAAGGAGGGAGGGGGGTTGGGTCCTCCTGGGGTTGCAGCAGGCAGCTTACAACTATCATTCCGTATCCCGTCTCCAGATGCTCACTACCCTTCTGTTTGTCTCCCAGCATCTCTACAATCCCTACCACGTCTCATGTTTGTATCACCAGCTTGCTGCCTACAAGCTTTGGTGTGAGTGTGTACATCTCTCTCTCTCTCTCATCTAAGGAAAATGAGCATTGGAGGCAGGCTGGAAGACTCAGCCATGGTGTATTTTCAACATTCTAATGTGCACGTGGAGGCCAGGCATAAAGGGTGACAACCTTCGGACCTGGGGCCAGGAATGGGCCAGGGTGGGAGACAAAACCTGCTGATGAAGGGGCTGGGCTGACCCTCCTCTGACTTGTTCTTTGGGCTCCTTTTTATGGGACAATTCTGCCCACTGAACGTGGCACAAGACATTAGGAAAAGAGGTAGAGGGCTGAAGTTGGTGACCAAGGGTGGGAACTTGCTTGCTTGCAAAGTGGCCTCCAAGGCTCCCTGAACTCAGGACAACTTCTGGGCTGCAACTTTATGGCTAAGTGGCTATTCCCAGTTGTCCCATCAACCACTTCCTAGCCCAACTCTTTGGGGGGTTTTGTCAAGATTTAAGAAAATAAACTCAAGCCTCCTAATGATGGAGAGTCATAAGTGCTCTAATCCAGCTGTGGTTAGGCCCACTCCTGGAGAGGAACGGGGAACATTTGGGCTGGAGGAGCAAGGTAGGGGGAGTGCCTTGTGTACCTCCCTCCTCCTTGCTACTGAGGCGGGGCCTTCGGTCTCAGCCCTCTGTGCCTCCTCTCTGCCCACAATGTCCTCATACTAGGACTGGATGGTGCGGGCTTTTCCATGAAGCCTGGATAACATAAGATTTGGTGATAGAAACACGAGAATAATCGCCTTATCCTTAGAGTCATAGCCCCAAATTAACCTCACCTCTGCAGGTTGCCTGTCGTGAGATGGAGCCTCAAAGGCAGAGCCTGGGTGCCTGGAGTCCGGCATGAAAGGAAATAGCGCCTCATCGCTCTTATCTAAGCCCAGAGGTATTTATGAGCGTTTATTCGACTGATCTGTTTGTTTGGGAGAAAGAGCAGGCAGGCAGGGCCGGGCCAGAGGCCGCCTGGCTTCTGGAGCCAGATCTCTATGAATCTGTCTGTGGTTCCGTCCACTGCCGTCTGTCTGTCTCCAAGGGGGAATATGTAAATACACAGTGGGCACAGCCATCGGCAGGTCTGGGGTGCTCAACGAGAAAGGGTGTGTATGGAGAGGTGGATATAAACGTGTACTAGGTCTTGAGTACACAACAGAAGGATTGCATAGAAATCCCACAGGCAGGATTTATAATTGTAATTTTCTGAGCTGTGACCCTGTGGTCCTGTGGACGTACACACATTCCAGCTCCCAGGGAAAAGTCTAAGCTGTGTTCAGCTCTGGAGTAAAATTCTCCTGCACCGGTAATCTCAGGGAGGATATTTGCCAGTAGGTGTGTGGAGGGGAGGGGATTGAGACATTGTCCAGGCTTCCCACCTCCTCTCAGCTGCAAAGCTCCCCCCACCCCCCAGCTCTTAGGACTGTGGGCACCTTCCCCCACCCCACTCCCAACTGTGATTGGGGTGGGGTGAATTCAAACATCTCAACCCAGTTCTTCCCCTAGACTCTGTGATTCTCTGGTTTTGGGGAACACAAATGTTCCCAGAGGGAGCAGTGTGGCCTCTCCCACTCTTTGAGAGTTGTTCAGAGAGAACATTGCCTTAAAATTGGCCAGTCCAAAGCACAGTACAAAGACATTTCCATTATGCAAATGAACAGCATCTTCTCTGATGGAGGGGGGAGCAGTGGCAGCTCAGCTCCCTCTCCCCAGGTCCTTGGGCACCCTAAGAGCCCTTAAGGGTTTCAATCCTCTATACCAGCCGCCTTACCCTCCCCATCTGTCCTTCGGATTGTCCACAAGAAAAAAACCTCCGAGTGGCCCAAGACCTTCGGAGAGCACTCCCTCGGGGCCTCCAGCACTGGGCCGGGCCTTCTAGCCGCCAGAAAGTCACTCTCTGCTGAAGAGCTGAAAGGGCTGCTCCTGCGGCCCAGACTCGCGAGGCGCCAAAGACTCCGGGCCGCAGCCCCCGCGTTTGCCCCCAGTACCGCTGGGCCCCTCGACCTCGGCAGCTCCGGGCCAGACCCTAGTAACACCTCGGCCTGCCTGGCACCGCAGGCAATTTCCTGGAGCCCCCGCCCAGGAACTGGGGCCACAGCACCTTGAAAGGAGCGGCCAGAGCTTCCTCCTGCGGCTTGAAAGCCCGAGCTAATCAGTAACCCGTGAAACCGGGGCCAATATTCAAACTCGGCGGCAGCGGCGCGTACCCCCGCCCTCGCCACCCGCTTCTGGGAAAGCAGTCGGCTTAAGTGGGTATGAGGGGTCCGGCAGGAACGGAAATTACAAGGGTTGGGTTCCTTACTGATTGATCCCCACTCCCACTCCCCGTTTTTTCCCAAAGCATATTTGTGTCGATTTCGCTTGAAATGATAGGGAATAGGGAAGGGGACCCACACTCACTTGCAAGACACCAACAGTTTCCAGAAAACTCGGCTCAATTCCTTCACCACAGACTCAAATGGCCAAGAAACTGGCAAGACCCACCACCCAACCCGGAGAAAACAGACTCGGTTTGTGTTTTGACAACCGAGTGGAACTGCCCGGGCCAGCGCCTCCCCTGCGGGACCCCTCCCTTAGCCGAAAAGAAAACCAAATAAACCTTGAACAGCCTTGGCCTCGGATCTCCCTAGCGGCCCTGGTGATCCCCTCTTGAGCTTGGAGGGGGATAGCGGGGTGAGGGCTCTCGACTCTGATCCCCAAATCCTTTGATTCAGGGCCCCCTGCCCGCGGGCGGGATTAAGTATTAGCCCTTTTTAAATATGCCCTAGAAAAAGCCGCTTCCCTCAGCCAGCCGCCAGGTTTGGAGCTGGGATGAGGCTGACAAGGGGGAGGGGATGCTTGTTCTCCAATTCACACGCGGGCAGGCGGGAACCAAGATCCAGCGGAAAGCGTCAATCTGGGCCGACGTCCCCAGAATCCCGCCGAACCAGAGCGGCGGGGGCTCCAGTCGTCGGGCATATGGTTCAGGCAGTGTCGCGGGGCATTTAGCGCCGAAGCCGCATGTCTCCAAATGGACGGTAGATGGCAGCAAACCGCATAATTTGGGTCAGAGCAAACTGTCTAAGGGATGATTTATACCCCGCCAAGACTACAGGAGAAAAAGACCTTCAGTCTGGGTGGGTTTGGGGAATTTTTCCTTTGAGAATAGGCTCTTAGTGCCGTGGGTGCTGGCCGAGAACTCCTCTCGCTACGCAGCCGAGGAGTCCCTTCAGGCACCCATTCCGGGCCTGCTTCGAGGGCATCTACCTGTGCCTCCAGGGGCCCCCCTCCAGCGCCACAAGTGGCTGCTTCTCTCTTCTCAGCTCAGGATTGAGAGGGTCAATATCCCCCTACACACACCCAGACCCCCAAATCCCTGGGCAACCAGAGGCCCGAGGCTGAATGCTCTGCATCTGCTCTTTAAAAAGAGGAAAGCAATCACCTATTCCTGCAAACCAAACTAAATCACAGTCTCTCCTGCCCTCCGCGCCCTAAGTCCCTTATCTGCCGTCTGGCAGCTT